TCTTGTGTCATCCTGCGTAAAATGTGGTTGCCTTTAACTTTCCAAAGAGAACTGTCACTTCTGTGATATTAGGAGAGCAGTGCCATCCAACTTCCTGCTCCAGATTCTCCTCTGTTTGTCCCACATCCCAAAAGTCTGAAATACGGCTCTGTGATCTGCAGCTGCCAAAAGCATTTGGTGCAGACATGGTTGCTGTCACTGAGAGAGGGCAAGGAGCTGCCACAGTCCAGCTCCAGCCCTGCCCTGACAGTGTCCTGTTGGAAGGGTCTGGGTGTAGGGCAAGACACAGGTGAGGGGAGCAGTATTTTGGGCCAAGACAACAACTATCAAAACCACTGAGCCCTACATCCCAGTTCTCCCCTATTACTGCATTCCTGCCTGGAAAGCAAAGTTTTGGGTTTGACTCCAAGTGGTCCAGCTTCCCCAGTCACTTCTGGGGTGCTTTCTAGAGGAGTCAGAGAACTCTAAAGGTCAAAGTGAGAGTTTTTAACCAAGTTCAGCTCAGTAAGGACAAGCAAAAGACACCCAGTCCCTTCCCTGCTGCTCAGAGTTCCCTCTGCAGAGGAATGCAGCTGCCCAAGGAGCCAGGAGAGATGATCCAAGCACCAAAGCATCACACCACGCTCCTGGTCATCCCACATCTAGACCAAAAATGACTACTCTAGAGATAAGTGGGCCCATGAGAACCTCACGAGGCTCAACAAGTCCAAGTGCAAGGTGCTACATCTGAGTTTGGGCAGTCCCAGATACAAGTACAGACTGAGACTCACTGAGAGGAGCCCTGTGGAGGAGGACTTGAGGGTTCTGGTGGATGAAAAACTTGACATGAGCCAACAGCTTGTGTTTGCAGCCCAGAAAGCCAATTGCATCAAAGGCAATGTGGCCAGCAGGTCAAGGGCGATTATTCTGAGCCTCTGCTCTGCCCTTGTGAGACCTGGAGACCTGCATCCTGCTCTGGAGTCATCAGCACAGGAGATTGTGGGAAATTTTAGACCTCTTAAGAGTGGGTCCAGAAGAGACCACAAAGATCATCAGAAGGCTGGAGCTTTTCTCCTATAAGGACAGGTTGAGAGAGCTGAGGTTGTTCAGCCTTGAGAAGGAAAGGCTCCAGAGTGACCTTGTAGCAATAAACTAAAGCACTAAACTACCTAAAGGTAGTTTATAGAAAAGTATGAGAGGGACTTTTTAACAAGGGTATGCAGTGACAGGACAAGGGGGAATGGCTTTAAATTGACAGAGGAGAGGTTTATATTAGATTTTATGAAGAATTTCTTAAATGTGAGAATGATGAGGCCCTGGCACAGGTTGCCCAGGGAAGTTGTGGATGTCCCATCCCTTGCACTGCTCAAGGACAGGTTGGATGGGACTCTGAGCAACCTGGTCTAGTGGAAAGTGTCCCTGCCCACGGCAGGAGGTTGGAATGAGACGATCTTTAACATCTATTCCAATCCAGACCATTCTGTGATTCTAGAATTCTTTGATAACAAAGCTGGAGATAAACTGACTCCAAGTCTGTCTCACCTCCTTCTTACTCAACCTCTCACCTTCTTGGTAAATCCACAGAGCCATTAGCAGCTGCCATGAATGCAGCATCCCACTAAAAAGCTGAGGGTTATACTCTTTAGAAAGGCTGAATCACAAAATTTCCATCCAGAAGCTTGCAAATGATCCCAGAAATATGAATTTTATTTGTTCTCAGGTTGGTAAAAAGTTAGGTCTTCAGAGTCTCAAACCTAATGTAATATTTGTTAGCTCAGAATTATTAATCAGGACAAAAAACAATATCAAAATATTCACTTGTCAAAAAGCAGGAGGCAAGGGAGGCATCCTGGAAAGGTTTCCCTAACTATTTGTGAGTGTACATTTCCCTGAAGGCAACAGCCTGAATTGGTCTGTCTGGTTTCTCCCTTTAAATACAGACAACATGAAAGAACTCTGGGGAAGAGTATCTAATTTGTCAACAGATCTAACAAAGTATGAAGACCTGAGTCCACAGGGCATATGTGAGCACACAGTTGTGCTTCAGGCAAAGAGGTTTTCCAGGAAAACTTCAAGGCAGCAGTGAATTTTAATTTTACATAATTATTTTCAGGGTGGGTCTAGAACTGTTGCAATTTTACATTTGAGTCTATAGATATGTTGCTATCTACTCTCTTATACGGATCTGAATCATGGGTCGTCTACCGCCACCACCTGCGTCTCCTAGAACACTTCCATCAACGCTGCCTCCAAACAATCCTAAACATCCACTGGTCAGATTACGTGACCAATACATCTGTTCTAGAACAAGCAGCAGTCACAAGTATTGAGGTCATGTTAATGAGAACACAGCTGCGATGGGCAGGGCACGTCTCCAGGATGAAGGACCACCGCCTCCCTAAGATCCTGCTTTATGGTGAACTTGCCACCGGCTGCCAAATGAGAGGAGCCCCGAAGAGGAGATACAAGGACTCCCTGAAACAACATCACAGTCTTGGCCATATTGATCACCATAACTGGTCTACTCTGGCCTCCAATCAGGAGGCCTGGAGACACACCATCTATAACGCTGCTGATGCTTTTGAGAAAGCACGCAGGATCACCCTTGAGGAGAAAAGGCAATGCAGAAAGAATCGTGCCTTGCAGAATATACCACCTAAGGAGTCTTTCTGCTGTGCCTTTTGCAACTGGACATGCCTATCTCGTATTGGCCTTTTTAGCCACCAACGTGCTTGCAACAAACGTGGGTAGAACCCTTCCCAAATCTTCGTTCGCGAAGCCCAGCCATGATGCTATAGATATGTGCAGAAATAATATGTATATACACACAAAGTATGTACCATGATGGGACAGTTCAAGATAGCAAACAAAACCATTGTGAAGCACTGCATAGATATTTTTTTCCTGGATAATGTAACTATCTCCATCCTTGCAAGTGTTCAAGGCAAGGTTGGATGGGGCTTGGAGCAACCTGTTCTAGTGGAAGGTGTGCCCCTCTCAGGGAGGTTGGAACTAATTTATCTTTAAGGTCTCTTCCAACCCAAGCCACTCTGTGATTCTATGATCTGGAGATTATTTTTTCCTATAATGTGACAAAAAAGACTTTCCAGTCATTCAGGTTCTATACAGTTACAAAAAAAAAAAAAAAAAAAAAAATGACTTTACAATGGTCTTTTTTCTATATTCCTACTAAACTCCTATGATAAGTGAGAAACAGGAAAGCTCTGAGCTATGAGTAAATTAAACAAGTTTTAGTTGGCTGGTTTTGTTTTAGAGTGCAATTTATTTTACGCTAGTGTCTTCATCCTGATTTATACTGAGAAAATGCATGATATAAAAACCCTTCAGGTTTGGAATATTTATCAAGAAAAAGATAAATCCTTAGTATCACACTTTAAAATGATTTTATGGGCTTAAGCAAATGAGAGTGTATATTGTGTTGTCAAAAGTCTTCATTCCACTGCATTAAGTAAATACATTGTATACTTCACAAAGGTCCACAAAACAGTATTTTAAAAGCTATAATAATCTGACTATGGAACAATTGCTCATCATGTGATTTACACCTAATAACAGTAACAAGCCTGTGCAGCCCCATTCATTAGAGGATAACACAGCACTCAAAACAGTCATTAAGCCTGGTAACTATTGTTCTTTCATCCTTTTCTATAGCAGAACAGTAAGTAAATTATCTGAGCAAAATTATCTGGTTAGAAGTAGTCTGTTACAATTTAATTTCATCATTAAAAAAGTGGACACATAGCAGAACAGAGATACAGCAGTTATCTGTATCACATCAGCAGAAGACAGATATGTCAGTCTGATCTCTGATATGAGACACATGACTGCCACAGCTCATAGAATCTTCAAATGGCTTGGGTTGAAAGGGATCTTAAAGATTATTTAGTTTCAACCTCCTGGCCATGGGCAGAGATACCTTCCACCAGACCAGGTTGCTCAAAGCCCTGTCCAATCTGGCCTTGAGCGCTTTCAGGGGTGGGGCAGACTGACTTCTCAACCTCAGGCTCAACCTCTTACATTCTCAGTTCATTCTGTGACACTGTGTACAAGCAATGCCTTCACACAAATGGAGAACTGAAGCAAAGATGTATCAAGTCAAAGCATGAAAACCAAGGAAAACACTCTACAGGTTCATCTTTCCTCTCTGACACTGTGTTCTCTGCACAGTGTTTGCCAAGGTTTAGAGTTTCATGGCCGTTTGGTAAACGACAAGATCTTGCTGGAGTTAAGGGAAGTTGAACAATGCTGAACACTGCATTTTGCTTCAAGACCTCTCAACACCCTGTCTCATGCACTGAAAAGTTTGGGCACTAAGTAAATTGCCAGAAAGACCTTTGCTTCCCTTCGCCTGCTCTAATATTAGAGGATGTTGACCTCCAGCCCTGTTTTACTTGAAGGAGTTCTAAGTTATTTTCTAGTCATTATGAATCAGATAACATAAATCACACCTAGACCCCTTGGCAGCTGGTATTATACTGCTGCACAGTAAAACCAGATGATTCTGCAGAGGAATAACCCAGTGAAGCCTTATCCAGCATTGACTCCTCTGTACCTCCTCCTAACCATGTTATGAATTATGCTCATACACAGAGGCCATGGATGAGATTAGAGTCCAGCTGTCCTGAATGCTTTACAAAACATCACAGGGGGCAAAATGTAAATGTTCTTAGTTGCTTTTAGACTAAAGAGAAAAAACTGCCAAGGAAAGCGCAATTTTAACTTTCTCATTACAAATAGGGAATAGAGAGACCAAGACTAGTCAAAATTTTTAACCTCTTTCCCAAAATTTTACCACTTTTTCATCAGACCTCTGGTGCTTTACCAAGGGAAGAGGCCGGTGTCAGAGTTTGGTTGTAAATCCCAATCTCCATTAGCCCAGGACCAAAAAACTTTAAATTAAATTATCCTCTATCCTTCTCCCATCCAGTAAGCAAATCGTATGAGAGGACTCAGCAGAGAAATCTCCTCTGCTTTTCCACAGACATTTCTGTGCCCTTTACCTGATCAGAGGCTGGTGTAGTGCCACCAGGGACGCGTGGACTGTGACAGAGATCACTGACAGGTGGAAATAGTCAAACATGACAGGGACATGGTGGTGCAGACCTCGCCGGGGGTGGAAGTGGAGACACAGTGTTCGGCTGCTGATCACAGGGATCGCTGGAACATCCCTCAGCCTGCAAGGGAAAGAGGTTTAACAAGGGTTAGTGAAGGCCTGAGTTGTCACAGCCTATAACGTGCTACAGGCAGCAGACTGAGAGATGCCTTGAGGTGTGAAATTTATCACTTCTCAGCTTCTTAAGGGGTAAGATAACTGAAGAGTGTCTTGTGTTGTTCTTGTGCCAAGCATAAATATGAATATTAATATAGATATTTGAACATTAATATAGATATAACTAATATAAATAGAAACACAAAGAATAAATAACATATATAGAGTTATATGAATGTACTGTATAAAAAAAAGAATAAGTGCAATGCAATTCCGGTTTTCCCCGCTGGTTGCCCTTGATGTCCATGTACCCACTAGTTCTGGAGACGTCAAGAACTAAGCAACAGAAGGAAATGCATTTAGCAAACTGTTCAGATTATTTGGGTGCTCACGGATGGGACATCTTACTACTTATGATTTTCTGTACAAGAACAATCAGCCCAGGCAACCAGTGAGAGTTAAAAGCATTCCTGTGCCAGACACAGCTGAAAATATTCAGAGAGCCTTTCCAGATTGTTGTTCTGAAAAAACTTTTTGGAAGAGGCCAAAAACCAAAAGACTAGGTGAAGTAATTGCAGAGAAACAGTACACATTGGATTAACTTTCCTTTTTTTTTTTTCTTTTTAAGTAAATGAAAGTCAAGATTTTAATTTAAATTTTGTTATAAGTATTTCAGAATAACTATCCTGGTGTGCAGGCAACCACATGACATCTCAGTCACCTATAGTGAGAGACTGAGCTGTAAATCTGGAGTGTGCCTCACCACATCCTTCCAGTTAAAGTGAAATTTCTAAAGAGGAATTATTTTACAGCATTAAAGACCCTTCTGAAGCCAATTGTTTCCCAGAACTATGACAACCTAGGATGAGATGGTTGTGTATGGTATATGGTTAGTCCCAAGCTTCCAGAAGATTTGCAGAATATTTTTTTTCTAAAAATCACTACTTTTTTTTATAGTAAATCAGAATAATCTTTAATATTATAACAGAAATTAAATGCATGTGTTGGAGCACAATTTCATAACTTTCAGTTATTTTTATTCCTGGTTATCATTTAATGTTTGGTTTTTTCTCTCTTCAAGACCCACCAGTACTGAAGGTCCAGTCTCACCTGCATGAGAGAAAAAATTTTCACTTTTTGTATCTTGAAGATAACAGAAACTTGTTCTTGAAATTTAAGTTCTAAATGGGTATGAATAAAATCCCATTGGGACAGTCTCAGCATGAAACACACCTCAGATGATTTCCCTACACCACCAGCCCCTGCAAACCCTGCTCAAGTCATTGGCAGACTTTTCCCTGATTCAGTGAGGCTGAATAATATATGGGGTCACACTTCCTGCTATGTCGCAGGAAGGGATGTTACTCCCACTTCACCTAAGATTATGGGATCAAATGCAGCTAGATAAAATCAAATTCAATGGGAAGACTCCTTCCTCTTGAAAATATTGAGGCAGCTTTGGTTCTTAACAGGAGAAAAGAGCTTAGTGTGTTTATACTCCTGTCTTCAGCCAGGAAGTACTTCATTGCCTCCTGAGATAAGTGCATTCCTGAACCACAGCCCCTGCCCACCTGCAGGTCAATGATGATATTCCCTTTAACAGCAGCAGAGATAGAGCAACACTTATAACCTTTGAAAAAACTTAAATTTAAAGGAGGAAAAATGTTGTTCCTTTAAAGAGGAGCATGAGATACACTTTTCAAAGCAGAGAGAAGAAACAGAAAAACTTCAACATTGAGGCAAAGGGAAGACTTATCAAAGGTATCCCTTTTTACAAAGAACTCTCATTTTATCAAAGTAATTTCCCAATTGAACAGAGCCCCACATTACCAACTGAGCTTCAAAACAGCACTTACTGTTGTTCACTATCAGTAAAGTGCAGGTCCAGCTTGAGCTGAAAATCTGCCTCATTCAAAGCATCTTCCACCTACAAAAAGAGAAAGACAAGGTTACCTTTATAAATTGGTACCTTCAACATAGAAGGCAAAGGTGGGTGGGTTTGTCTGATAAGAGCAAAAATATGCAGCAACAGCAGCACCCCATCACAGAGGCAGAAAGAAGCAAATGTGACAGTGAGTCAAGGTAATTGCTGAAGGAGTCAGAGGGAACCAGAGCAGTTAGAGGTGTTATCTGCTCCTGGGTGCCCTGTCATGTCAAGAAAATCACTCCAGACAAGAGTAACCAGAGTGCACAGAGCTCTGCATTTGTAGGATCCCTGCTCTTTGCACACCAAGAGTCAGAGGAGCATTTCTGAGTCTGCTCTCCCTCATTGAGTGAATCTTCCTTTGAGTTGTCTTGTCAGTTGAATGACAGCAAGGACTGGGTTTTCCTGGATGAGAAATAGCCACGAATCCTTCTGTTTGCCTACCTGTAACTAATTCAAGGGACAAAGTTTACAGCTTAAAGTAATCAGAAATGGCTCAAATAATTCTGGCAATTTCTGATCTCCTATCATTAGCCTTTTACTTTGTTTCTCAAAGGCTTTCCTGCCTCCTGGTAACCCTTTCTTGCCCTTCACAAATTCGTGGAGGAAGTTTGTCATCGATCTTCATCTAGACATTTTTTCTTTCCAAAATTAAAGGCTTTTGTTGTTTTTAAAGCTTCAATTAACAGAAGTTTAACTATTCCCTTTGTTGCAGGGTCCTGAGCATGGCTATACATGGTAGGATTCTGCTTACCAAAAACCACTGAAGATACCATGTGTTACTCACTGGTACATTCATCTAATTCATTCAATAGGTCCCACCAGTAAAATTACCCTTCTTTTATTGTCAATAAAATAGTTTAATTGGATTTTTGGAAACAGTACTGGAGTTGACAGTTCATTACCTTCATCTGTAAAGAGCTATGTTGGATAACACATCCCAGCTTGGCACAGTTAAAAAAACTCTAATAAATGGAAATAAATAAATTAGAATAGAAAAAGGATTAAGCTGACCAGCACTTTCTCCTTCACTCTTTTGAAATGTCTTTTTTCCCCCCAACAAAAATAGGGTTAGTAGAATAAAAAAAAAAATAAAATCATTTCCATCAACTAAAATGGAAATATGAACCAAAAAAAATGCACATTTTATAACAAAAATATTCTTCCTCTGTGAATGTAAGCATCCTTTATTGTATGCCAGAATATAGTAGGAGATGTACAGGAATGCAGGTGGAAAAGTGAAGTTATTGACTGGAGATATGGTATTATAAATACAACTTATTTTTACCCCATTTTTGCCAAAAAAATGTGAGGTGAGACGTTTGGGTTCTGTCTTCTGTTACTGGAAAGCAACGAGCAGATGCACACAGCGAGCTACTCCATCCTTAGGTACATGTTGGAGGACAACTGATTTCTGTTTGTGCCTGTCTCTTCCTACTAACAATAGACAGAGCCTAGAGAAATATCTTGGTCTAGATACACTTGCATGTTATATGGCTTAAATTAGGTAAAATTAATTGTACTCTTCAAAGCTGATCATCACATTCTTAATAACGGATCACACTGAAGGCATCATCAGAGGCATCTGGCCTGCCCTGACAGGAAGGATCCATAAAATACATAACATGAACTATGTTTAGCTGGGCTTTCCAAAGGTGAAACTGCATCTACAATGTGCCATTACCTGAATTGAGAGTTAGGGATTGATTGTGCTTTGACAAAATTATCAAAGATGTAAAACATAATCCCTTCTGCAGTAATGTGGTATTTCTTCCAGCATGGGCACAGGCATGGAGATGTGAGGAGACAGTTCCCACTTCTATTTACTGAAAATCTGCTTTCTCTTTTGTAATTGTCTCAAAACACCTGCAAATGCGCCTTTCGTAAGAAAAAAAAACAACTAAAAAAATTTAAAAAAAGACTTTTTTCCTTTTTAATGACTTGTTGTCACTAAAAATCGCAGTTGCTGGCAGTTGCCAAGAAAATAATCATTACTGAAGCTACAGTCTGAATTTAAACTAGGAATTCAGTGTAGTGCTTCAGACAAAGCAAACCTCCTCCAACAAAGGGGATGAAATTTTGGGACTGTGCCTAATACTGCTGAGCACCTGCAACTGTCACTGAGATCTAAGACTGTGTTCAAAACAAGTTCAATAGCTGGTGACACTCACTCAAAACACCTTGAGGCAATGAACAGATGTCTGAGAGACTGAGAGATACTCATCACTGCATGGGGTCATGCAGTGAGCTGCATACATAGGGTATTTTTAATCCCAAAACTGTATTGGAATCAGACTGCTCAGAATACTGCAAAACCCCATAAAAAATCAATCACAGTTTTCACTACAGAAATGTTTTCCTTTTTATACTGGGGATGTAAATATTAAATGAAAATTGGACAGCTGCTCAAAAACTGATCTCTTTACAAGAAAATATCATTAAAAGACTTATGCACAGGTTGAGATACAACAGAATTAGAGTAATCATGTGACATGTTACTATACAGCTTTGATATTTGCTGGACTTTCGGCTGGTTTTTTGTTTTTTTTTTTTCACTTATTAGAGACATAGGTGCATAAGATCTTTTACACAGGAAAACAACAAAATGGCCTTTCCATAGCTCATACAGAAGGGGAACTGAAATTTCTATCATTCCTTGGTCTCCTGTATGAAATAATATTGTCCTTAAATGAAATATTCATTTCTTATTTTAGCATTAATGGGACTATTATGGTTTTGTCCGTAGTTATCCTTTACAGACTGTACAATTTTCCAAAAGTTTGATAGACTATCTATTTTGTTTTTTCTCCTGAAAAAAAGTTTTGAATTTTCACACCAAACTCCTTAAGAAATTAGCCTCAAAAATTTATCTGGAATATAATTAACATTTGACTGGTTAGGCTAAGCAATGTCCTCCCAGATACTCTGTGAAGAGTCTTCCAGAGTTTTTTTATACAGTTTCTTGATCTTTTAGTTGTGTTAATGATGAAAATCACAACTTTTGAAAGAGAAAATAAAGATCCATCCCTGGAAGTGTTCAAGGTCAGGTTGTATGGGGCCCTGAGCAACCTGGTCTAGTGGAAGCTGTCTCTGCTCGTGGCAGGGTGTTGTAAATGGATGGTCTTTCAAATCCTTTCCAACCCAAACCATTCTGTGCTTCTATGATCTGTGTTTGTAGGAGTACATTCATAGTAAACAATGAATATTTTTCTGTTCTCTAATATTCCATACACCCAAATATCCACCTTGGGCCTCATAGCTTGTGCAAAAACACTCTATATTCATCTGAGCACACATAATTTTCCAGAAGGTGCTGCCAAAAAGTTCAGACTGTTTGCTGACCACTGTCTCTCTTGCCAAAGGACTGTACTTACAGAGAAATGCGTTTTAGTAAACACTGTTCAGAATCTGCAAAATAGAAAGTATTTTCATGCTTTCATACATGAAAAGTAAAACTATTTTATACAATAAAAAGTGTATACAAAGCAAAGTACTCCAATTTCTGTTGAACTGGCCTGGAATCAAGTGCATCATTTCAGTTTTGCTTTCTAATTTTTCAGGTTTACATTTGCATCTTAGGCTTAGCTTTTAAGCTCTGTGATAATACTTATTAATGAAGCTTCCTGCATTCTTGTGATGTGCCTCCCTGATATTTAAACATTTAGCCAGAGTGTCAGACTGAATGATCCGGATGTCCCAGCTCACTTAAATTTCTCTGGAAAGTACAAATCTAATACACTGTGATATCCTGGATTGCCTCACTCTGTCCTCCCCCACTACTAAATTGTCCCTGAACAGGGCCAGCAAGCAAGGAGCCCGACAAGGTACCTGTTTCATTGCTTGGTGAAAGCGACAAAGCTTCTTCTCTAACAAGAATGAAAGTAAGAGCATATGAAAATAAATTAGACTTCTTTGCAACAATAAAGGCGCCTCAGCAATATTGTTTCCTGTGAATTCAAAAAGCTGCTGTATGCTGGGATAATATAGAAAAAGGCATCTAAAAAACTGGAGAGTTTTAAGGCACCATTTATAAGGTGAAAGGCGTGGTCAGTGCCGCTTCTTGGCAGATAATTGAGGTTTCTTCCATTCAGTGCCACACTAAAAAAAGATGTATTTACATATTTAAGCTTATCTAGGGTTATGCTAGGGGAGGGGGGGGGGGAGAAGAATTAAAAAAAACAGTAGCAAATAATCTAATCTGGACATCCACATTGGGTTTTGTCATTTAGGGGTGTTTTGTCTGAGCCTGTCGCAGCAAACTATCTCATCAGTAAAACTACCCAAGCATCAAGAGAAGAAAGCACATTGCTCCCTTACTATGACCATATGAACTCAATACTTCCATTACCCAGACTAACTCTTTTGTCTACTTGTCATAACTTCCATTCACACTAAAAACATTGAACAGAACTTTCACCCTCAACCAAGAAAACTCACCATAGCACACAACTGGCACAAAAAAGGATTCACATCTGTTATGTTTTAAATAAATTAAGAATTATGAACAGAGATAATATTTAAAACACTTTAAAAATCTCTGGGTGTCTCGCCAACACCAGATTGCAAGGATTTCAGCCAACACAGGAGATTACGTGACAAAGGTGTAAAGCTGTCTCTGAATAGTTGTGGATATATTTGTCTTCTTCTGAGCATGGTGCCCAGTGGAGTGGCACACTTCTGTCTCTCCCACATTTATATCAGATTTGTAGAGCTGTGCAGGACAAGACATCAAAGCTGAAAAAAGAGGCCTGGGAGCATTAAACAGAGGTAAATTGTGCTAATCTACTCAATACACAAAAATTTTTACAGACCTCCATGTTTTGTATTTGATCCTTTAGAGTCTTTTCAGCAACTCATCTGGGACAACAGACCTGTTTATCCTCTTATTCTACATCTGTGAAAACCCAAAGCAACTTCATAATACAGAAAAATGGAGTTTGTGCAAAATCATTCTGTAAGTATAGAATTGGGCCTCTTGCCAAGGGGTCTCCTATGGAAAGTCAAGTGTCTGCATGGAGCACATCAAGAGTCAGAATGAGTTTTAGCTGTGAGGAGTCTTGTGGACTTCTATTTCTTTTGCATTTTGTGAGGTGCACAACTTTCCTGAATAATAATGCAAAAATCATCAGAAATCATTCGTGCTCAACATAATGGAAAGTGCCATAATTTGAAGGGAGAGATGTTTAATCAGAGATGTTCCACACAAGCAGGATAAAATTAATGTTTGACTAAGCATGTTGGTACATTTTCCTAACAAATATTGATAAACTTGCATTTAGTAATTTTTCATACAAGCACAAACCAACAATTCTAGGGAGGAATAAATTGAAGACACTATCAAAAAAAAATCAAACTAAAACCGCAAAAAGAAAGTGGGAGAGAAAAGGAAGCATGTTAAGCTTAAATTAGGTTCTCAAGCTGTTTTAATTTTGGTTTGTATATAACACATATATATGGGTTGAAATAGGACAAAAGAGAAATATTAAATCTCTTCATGATCAAATAGAAAGTTATACAAGGAAAGACAGGTGAGTATTTCTGGCCCCACGCCCAATACACAGCACATAATTCACACTGGCTGTGTAACTTATAGCACCTATTTTTGATGATATGCTGACTTTGCAAAGATACTGATGCGTCTCTCATCATCATCACTTAGGGCACTTATAAATATCATGCACTTTCTGCCAGTCCTTGGGCTGGCAAAGCACAGTTATGACACTTTAAGGCAGACCTGAGTGCCATTCTACTATGACACTTTCTCCCCTTGGTATTTAAGACTCCAGTTAAACAGTATTCTCCATGAACAAAGATTGCTCCTCTCTTGTAGCTCCTGGCAAGGAGCCACTGGAAGACATTTTCATATCAGTAAGAGTAAGCCATAGGTGCTCTACAAGTTGGGTGGCTCAGATGCTGTACATCCCCTGTGTGGGTGCCACTGTTGGCTGAAGGAGTAAATGGAAAATTGGGAGAAGGATCTCACTGTGGACCTAATGTAGCTGAGGTGCAACAGAAAGCAAAGATGTCGTACATGGATTATAAGGAAGGGTAAGCTAGGCAGCACTTCCACACACTCCTGCAATCAGGAGCACTAAGGAGAAAGGTCAGGAGACCTCTGACTGGTGGAAATGGACTGGGCAGCTGTAGCAAAAACCAGTGACAAGAGAGAGGAGGAGAAGACAGTGATAATGGAAGAAGAATGCTGCATCCTGGCAAGATGCAGCAAATTCCCAGTTTTCTCAGGTGGGGTTGATCTACACAGCTATGTAAAGTGAGTGATCTAGTGCAAAAATTAACAAATTATGGTTGAGACACTTGAGTTTCTGATATACTAATTTACCAGAGTACGTCAACATCTTATTGCACTGAAAAGCCAAAGAGTGGCCTACTCTTTATAACAGGCTCAATGCGGGAGGTTTATAATGTCAGCATTTACAAAAAATTCTACTGCCACCACCTGCGTCTCCTAGAACGCTTCCATCAACGCTGCCTCCGTTCAATCCTAAACATCCACTGGTCAGACTATGTGACCAATACATCTGTTCTTGAACAAGCAGCAGTCACAAGTATTGAGGCCATGTTGCTGAGAACACAGCTGCGATGGGCAGGGCACGTCTCCAGGATGAAGGACCACCACCTCCCTAAGATCCTGCTTTAGGGTGAACTTGCCACCAGCTGCCGCAAGAGAGGAGCCCCGAAGAAAAGATACAAGGACTCCCTGAAACAACATCTCAGTCTTGGCCATATTGATCACCATAACTGGTCTACTCTGGCCTCCAATTGGGAGGCCTGGAGACACACCATCTATAACGCTGCTGATGCTTTTGAGAAAGCACCCGAGGATCACCCTTGAGGAGAAAAGACAACGCAGAAAGAATCGTGCCTTGCAGAATATACCACCTAAGGAGTCTTTCTGCTGTGCCTTTTGCAACTGGACATGCCTATCTCGTATTGGCCTTTTTAGCCACCAACATGCTTGCAACAAACGTGGGTAGAACCCTTCCCAAATCTTTGTTTGTGAAGCCTGGCCATGATGATGATAATGATTTACAAAAAAACAAATCACAACAGACATCCTAATCAACACAGGTATTGATGGGTGCAGAACAGTCAATATCCTCCTAGGGCAGTTGATGGTATACCGGGCAGATAAATTGTGCCTTTACCTCCACCAGCTACACTGCTGAGACCTCTGACAGCACATGGACCTCATGACAACTTCTTAATTGGAGTTACCTTTGCAATGCAGACCTAAAGTTAGATTAGAGGAATCCCAGCCCTCCTGGTTTTCACATGCATGCCAAAACAACTCACCCTTTCGCCATCCAGAAGCAGGTGCACTCTGAAGTTCATTGATTCATTAAGAATGATCTCTTCATTTCTGTACAAAATCTGAAATATTCTGCTGTAAACGTTGTTTTCATGAACGCAGGCTGAGCAAAGGCTGGAATCACCTGCACAAAACACAGACAGATTCCTGGTGTGATTTCTGCAGGGAGATTACTTTTTCTCCTGTGATTTCACTTGAGGATTATCTACGTAGTATTCATAATTAAACATAGCATTCTCAATAATTAATGATAGCAGGGTAGACTGTTATTGTGAGTTCCAGGTTCCCAAACATGATATTTAAAGAAAACTAATGTTAAACTGTAGGCAGGGTGAATTTCAAAATGAGAATAGCTGATCCTGTGACAGTACTTACCCTATTAACATTATTTCTAATATAAGTTAAAGTTTTAAATGTATCCTAGAGAGATCTGCTACCCAACACTATGAGGACTGTGGGAGTTCACCTGGGAAATTTCATCTTTTATCTGCAATGGGCATCTTTCAGAAGAAGGAGTGTTCTTAAGAGGGAGTTTTTGTGTCATCTCTGGTGCTCCCAGAAGTTACTACCTGGGAGCAGACCTTGAATGTAGAGATTAGAAGTGCAGAGGGACCTTAAGTTAAAATACAGAAACATAAAAAAGTAACCATTTTTCTAAGATACCTGTGTAATCCTTCAAGACCGTGACCCATGTGAGAAATGCCAATTTGGTCCATAAAGCTGGGATAAATCTGAGGAACTCAAGAATCAAAACCCTAAGCTTCTCCACATCAAATTCAGCCAACAGCTTCATTTGTGTGATGTATCACATCATCACCAATGAACACCACAAAAACTGAGGTGGGATTTATCCTCCCCAACTTTGAGGTGCCTCCAGTGTATGTATTTTGTTTTGGTTACAATCGAGCTTATGGAATTTAGGACATCATTAAAAAAAAATGTGCCTGCTTTATAGTGAGGCAAATTTTTTCTCCAAGTCCACCATTTGTTGAGTAATCCCTCTTTCACTGAGAGGAAAACAGTGTGACTTGCTTAACTGTACAAACCCACATTGGAGGTAACAATATGTTCTACAGCAAATACCTTCCAGAGAAGCCTGTAATGACTGTGTGAGTTTTTAATGAACAATTGGGCACCAGAGTTAGGTACTTTCAAGTTGTGCCTTAGCTGTTAATCAGAACCCCCTGCTAATTCTACTTTCATAGCCCCAGAGCAACAACTTGTAGCAAAACTTACTCAGGGCTGGTTTTATCCCTTTCCAGCATTCAGTTCTGTAGGAGTCTGAGCTTTTGAAATATAGTCCTTCAGCAAATGGTATTTTGGAACTCTCCCAACGAGGTGTGCTTAAAACAGGTGTACCAGAACCAGTCATTCAGAAAGAGAGACATAAAGAAAGTCAGAAGGCACATGCTTTTTAGAAAGCATAGTTTTTCAGAAGGTACTTCTAAGAATTTGGAGTTCTGTAGAATTGTTTTGAGACCACGAGCTGTGGTAAGACAAAAGTCCAGGTCAGAAAGTCTTAGGTTTGTCAAGAGTTTGTCAAGAGTTTCAAATCAGGACAGATCTATTCTACTCTGCCAAAGCTGCTTAGCTAAAGCTACTGAGGTTTTGCTTTTCAATGCAACAATTGTACATAATTTGCAATCAGAGGTCAGTGAGTCAAGACTGAGGGAGAAGAAAAGATTTCCTGAGGTAAAGGTTGGTTGGGGGGAGTAAAAATAAAAGAACAGAATGGACTTTAAAGCAAAACAAACAAACAAACAACAACAAATGTACTAAAGGTCCTGGTAGATAAGTGAATGGAGGTTTGTCATTATAATGGTTAGTTTTGTGGTGCCAGTCTACTGGAACTGGAATAGCCTGGACAAAGAAATATCTTAAAAAAAAAAAATCAATCATATGGGGCAGAGTTGATTAAAGGCCGATAAGACCAATAAGACCAATAAACTTGAGTAAATTAATTAGCAGAACCATAGTGCTGTCATCCAGACTACACTCAAATAATATTCCTATTACTGACTTTCACTAAGCACACTCAGGAACAGCCCAAGTGTTTCATCCAATTATTGTCTTCCCATCATCCATCCTGCACAATAGTCATGCATAAAACCAGGCAACTTAGAAAAATATATATTTATTTTCGTGTGCTACACCAGTTAGACTAAAATGTTTCAGCTTGATTAGCTCTTCAAAAGCATACAGTCATATTTATTTTAATTAAACCTCATGATATTAGAGACACTGCAAAAATCATATTAGAGGTATAATGCATTCTTGTTCCTAGCTGGCAGACAAAGGAAACTTTATGTTATTTGATTTGGATATTGATATACTGGTACTCTTCTAGAATGGAAAGTTTAATCTCATTTTCTTTTCAAACACACTCCTGCACAGACCACTCCTCATGTGTAATTACTTTAGGAGCTGGATTTGCAAGGTGGCATAAGGAGTCATTTCTCTTGTTGGAAAGGTCACAGTCAAAGATATGCTACAATGTTTGGGATTGTCTCAAATCAGAGTGAATGTGATATTACAGGGCCAAAAAATCTCTCAGTTTTAAGCAGAGACCTACCTTTGCAGAGATCTGCAAATCTACAGCAACGAGTGACTGATCATCCCCTAAATGCAATCTATCCCTGCCTGATTAAATGGCCACAACCAGCTTCTTCCTTTCCTAGATTATGGCATAAAGCTATAGTAGGGATTTCTTCAGAGGAGATCTTGGCAGCAGGAACACGACTAGTAATGCTGACAGCAATGCAGGCATCCTGCCTCTCCAGGCAAAGGGGAAAAACAACATCCTCACAGCCCTTCGGGCTGCAGCACAACTGGTGTATTCTGTGCTTTAAGGAACAGACAGGGACCAGGTTGTATTACTCTACCTGTGCTTCTTGCACTAACTAGAAGAGGTACCTGCACCAAACATACTCTTTTTTACTCTAATCCATGAAAACATCATCATCCTGGTAACTTTTCCAAACTTTCCCTAGTTCCTGGGATATCTTCTGAAACTCATGTGTCTCTAAACTCCAGACTTGTCTGCTAACAGACAGTGGCAATAAACGTGGCATTTGTCACAGCTGTCACTGTTCAGAGAGGGTTGCTGGCAGAAGACACAGCAGACATCCCCCCGGGTTCAGGAGACGTGGCAGATGTATCCCAGTGCTCACACAAACACCTCTGTCCTTTGGCACAAAGCACAGGATGGTGTGAGAGAGAAGCTTGGAACCACATCCCTTTCTGGCATAATCTGGGCTATGCAAACAGCTCTGAGCAATGCCTGCACTGCTCAGCAAGCACAGACAGTCCAAGGAACACAGACTGTCCAGTGTGTAGGAACTGCTGGGATCTCTCACTCTCTGGTGAGAGTTGGAAATAAGACTCTACTGACCTGCATTTAGCTCTTTATTCTACAGTTTCAAAAGCTTGAGCTTTGGTGAACCCAAAAAGGAAAGTCTAATTTTGTGGAAAAGAATTTTTGATCAGTAAATTTCCTTGTTAGGAGATTTATCTGCGACATGTGCAGTATTCCTTAAGCCAGAAGGAATCCTGCTTTCCTGTCTCCCCTTCCTACGTGTCTATTCCATTCACTGCATATTGTCTTTGTGTTGAACAGGTCTTCAATTTATCTAGAAAGTGAAAGAGCTCTCAGACCCATAAGAACTATAGCAAGCATGTAGAGGAGAGTTGTGTTCCACACACATTCAGTTAAGAGAATGAGAAAAGCATTTTTATGCATCTCTTTCTTACTGTTCTTTCCATGCCATCCCACCACCACTCCTAGAAATTCCTTTACAGACTATCGAGCAATAGCAGTTTTAAAAAGGAAGGGGAAAAAGGCTCTTTCAGTTGTGGACACTTTCCTACATAGGCTGCCTGTAAAGTCAATAAACATATTCTGCTTTTTCTAGGCTTCCTCGGATACGCTCTATTCTACCTAATCTTCCCATCTGGAAGTTTCTATAGATGGAGGTTTCTAAATATTATTGTAGCACATCATACAGAAATTACTCATCCCTTTAAAGATTCAGAGAGAGGCTATTAGATCCTGGAGGCCCCTGAAAACCTGTCCTCAGATAATCTTACAATAAAGGAACTGATAGATAGGTGATGTGTAAGCAAAGTTGTTACTTATTTCCAACCAATTTAGTGAGAATAAAGAGGATATTGTTCTGATGACCACTGTCAGGAGGAAGGCACTGAGGTGGATGGGGGTGGTGGATCTCTGTGGCAGGTGTGCAAAAGCCCTTAAAGAATGAAATTAGAATAGAATAGAATAGAATAGAATAGAATAGAATAGAATAGAATAGAAAATAGAATAGAATAGAAAATAGAATAAAGAATAGAATGAAATGGATAGGATAGGATTAGGATAGGATTAGGATAGGGAGGATCCCAGGGTGATGAGGGGCTGGAGAAGAGCTTGCCAAATAGGCTCTCCATAGGATTCCAACAGTAGGGCTCTCTGGGAAGGAAAGTTTTGCACAATGTCTCAGAGCATGTGAGAATTGCAATAGGAGAGCAGAAAAAAGAAAGCAATTGATGAGAAAATGTATTTTAACATCTTTAAGGAAAAGCACTAGAACTGGAAGGATAACCCCAGGAACCTTAGCCTTGTAGAGAGACATGTGACATCTGGTCAAACCCACTTAACCATAGCTTTAATGTTGGCAGTAGGTATAATTTGATAAAGTTGATAATGAAATCAACTTTAATTGACTATTCTGCTATTTCTGTTTTGAAGGAGTGTGATATGCTGGAACAACTTGCCTTTCTACTTGAAGGCCCCACTGCTACATAAACTGAAAGTGTTGCCCGACCAGACAGGCAGCATCCCTCAGCTATGACAGGGGCACAAGTTTTCCGGATTTTCAAAGGTTCTCATTTGTGTTACTTCCCCCAACAGAACCCTCACACCACTTCCATTCATGCGAGGAGAGGAAGACATTCCTAGGGAAAAGTAGTGGAAGATGTTGATAATATTCTGCAGGTTAGAAGTGTTCCCCTGAACTTTCTAAGATCCTAATATACACAACAAGCAGATTATCACACCTGCTCCCAAACTTCAGTGGTCAATTTTCCCAATTGTCCTCTCCAGATAATGCAATGTCTTCATTTATCAAC